GGGGGCCCCAAAACCCCCCCCCCCCCCCCCCCCCCAATGCATGGGTGTGTGCTTCACTTCAGTTCAACCCACTTACCTGCCAACGTGTCAACGCCGGCAAGGGCCTGTACAGCGTCGGCTGCAGAGTAATTGGTGGTTGATGAACCCTGCCCTGGAGAGGCCGAGACGGTTCTTGACTCAGCCACAGACGCAGACGTGCTTTCAGCTGGCTCCGGACACTCCTGCTTCACCGTGACCGTCGAATAAGATGGCTCGTGCACTTGTGCCAGTTGCAACCTATGGGATGTCGACGACGTTGACGCGGGGCCAAGATTGTAGAGCTGCAAGACCTGCAAGGCACAATTCGTTGTTACACAGACACACGACTGAGCAGCAAGGCTGACAAGTAATCTGCTAACCTGGGCCTCGTCTAGATCTTGCTCAGCCGTGTTGTGGGGCACGGACTCTGGGCGCCGCTTCTGCAAAGCTCGGGCATTGAAGAAGGCCATGCTTGGTGTGCTAAACTGTGCGAGGCATTGCTCACAGTTAAGCTTGATGGAGATGGTGGAAAAGACCACGCAAGTGACCGCCTTTAGGAGGGGTTTGCCCGTGCCTTCTCGTCGACCCTGCGCTTTCAAAACGGGGCCGAGCACTGCAATGTGGTTGCGCAAGCGCGCCGAGGCATGCGCCAAAGCAAACAAAATCCGTTGGCCAACGTTCAACATGTTGTTTTGAAGGGCGTCAATGCCCCGTGCGACAATGTCATGCCTCCGAGCTTCCAAGATCGGCACCAACAGGTCGAACAAAGGCTCAAGCTCGGAAAGATCTGCTGGAAAGGGCATGACGTCGATGATGTCTGTGATGAAGCTCAACACGGCTCGCATGAGTGTCCGTGGGCGGGTCCGTTGTGGGTTCTGTCGGATCTCATGCCAAGTTCGAACAACCAGTTGGAGTATGCTCTTGAGCTGTTCAACGGGTGTCGTGCAAAGTTGTGCGGCACGCCGGCGTGTGTTGAGGGGAAACTTGTTGAGTAAAACAAAGATGTTGCTGGCACGCGTCAGAGAGAAGGCCGATAGGTCAAGGGTGTCGGCCAAGATGCTCTTCACGATGCAAAGAATGATGACTTCCTCCGCGGGATCGACTGGTGCAAGAACCTCCTTTGTTGGGATCCGATTGAAGCTCACCAGATCGCTGATTGGTCTGTCGTGCCTAAGAACTGCTTTGAACAAACCTGGACAGCCAGGAGTCATGGGATAGGCACGGCAAAATGACAAGAGTGTCATGAGGTGACTAAATGCGTCATGCATACTCATGTGCTCAGTTCAGAATCGCATAAACGTACAATATGCATCGCTATGATTCTCATAAGGTCTTATGGACTTGATGCGCTGGGGTGGCGCTTGGATAGCATTGACGTTGCCCTGAGGATCAACGCCGTTGCCCTGGTCATTGTCGTTCTCGTTCTCGTTCTCGTTCTCGTTCTCGTTCTCGTTCTCGTTCTCGTTCCCGTTCTCGTTCTCGTTCTCGTCCTCGTCCTCGTCCTCGTCCTCGTTCTCGTTCTCGTTCTCGCGGTCGTGGCCATTGTCGTGGTCGTGGTCGTGGTCGTTGTCACCAGCATCATACTGGCTGTTGTCATCCTCAGCTTGATCTTGGTGTTTCAACCCCTGCTTGATTTCATACCCACTCTTTTTGGTCAGGCCAAACCCGTCCTGTGCTTCATCCATGCTGTGATCATTCAAGCTCTCGCCATCGCTATCAATCCTAACATCCCCTTGCTCCTTCTGCTGCCTGTCCTTATCCTGCTTCCCAATAGGATGCAATCGGGGTCGCTTGGGCAGCATGTCGCCCGAAGCAGCTTCATTCCTGCTTTCGGGGATGATGCACGATACAGGATGAGCACATGAGCTCTTCTGAGCGGGTCGAAGAATTGGCGACGATAAAGCACAGAACATACATCATCGCCATGGAGCTGGCCAAAGCTCCTGAAGCCATCGAGATGCAAGAGCCTGTGCAAACTTGGTATACAGGGATGCAGGGGCTGCAGGCGTGGCTATGTTGAGGTTGCCCTGCCCTTTGTGTGGCCAGACTTCATCGAGGATGGCAGAGATTGGCTGGAGGCAAAGCGAATTCAAAAGCCAAAGTTGCATTTGAACCCCGAGTGAAACCCCATCCCTCTTTGCCGTCACCACCCTACGTCTCCAACCCCCACCGCCTCCGCCAGCGGGAAGGAGGCACAAAAGCGCGAGAGAGCGAGAGAGAGCGAGCGCGCGACACCAACAGGAAGCCAAAAAAAAAAAAAACGCGACACACACCACACACAATGGAAGCTAACGGAAATTGCAACTGTGAAACGGGGAACCAAACGTCAACCGTGATGTCCGACACTCGCTTTCTTGAGCTCTCTCTCGCTTTCTCTGTGCTTTAGCCCTTTCTCTGCTCTCTTACTCTCTGCTCTCTTTCTCTGCTCGTCACTCTCTCTGCTCTCTTTCTCACTCTCTGCGCTTTCGCTCTCTCTTCAACAGGTGTGTAATTTTAAGCACACTTTGGCCAACTGACAAAACAGGCTTACAAACAAAATAACCTCGTTGATAAAGGAGGGGTTAGTTTATATTACCAAAAAAATCGCCCAAAGCCCAAAAAAAAACTTTTTTTGAATCGCTCGGATCGACGCGAGGTCGTCGCCAACCGCGTGTGCCCGGATCGCAGCGGCCCACGGCCTGATTCACAGGGAATAACGTGCAATACCTCTCCTCACCCTTCCCTCCAAAAGGGTAAACTTGCAGAACAAGGCACTCTATTGTCCCTGCATTAGACCCAAGCCATAAACATATGATCCTCTCTGTCTTCAAGCACGCCCATGGCCAGCTCCCCCTCGCCAGCCCAGCAGCCCACAACGGCATCTCCCGCCCCACTTGATCAGTTTGGTACGTGACTCAACCCCCTCCCTTTTTCCCTTTTTCTATCCGACTTTGCAGGCTCTTGCTGACCGCCAAACGCTGCTGTCTTTCCGGTACAACGCTCACATCTGTCGTCGTGCTGCAAACGCAGTCAGCATCGTGTCATCTCTCAATGAACATTTACTCGACAATCAACCGCCAAAGTCGCGCCTGTTGCCCAGCTGGAAGCGCCGCACCACCCGCTTCGTCAATAGCATCAAACCACTTCGAGTCTTTCTCTCAGCTGATGACGCACGCTACGGCCTCGCGCGTGCTGTCATCCTTCGCTATGTTGCCTCTCAAATTCACACTCGCTTGCGGCAGCGCCTGGCCACGAGCAACTTCTTCAACGACCGTGTCCTGGGCTATCGTCTAACCCTCCTCCTTGAGCTGTTGTCACGTGTGGACAACCAGGATGGCATTCTGGCCACCATTGCCGCCGCCCACCCCGACCTCCTGCTGATGGCCCTTCAAGCTGCCCATCGCATCAGCTGTGGTGCCCAGGGTACCAACTCACCCCTTCTTCAGTGGCTGGTCTTGCTTCTCGGCACACCCGCCTACTTTGAAGCCCTTCTCACTTCTGAGCAGCTTGGCCAGGCTTTTTGCCTCATCCTCCTCACCATCAACTCCCAGCCCAACATGGGCCGATACTATCCGCAGCTTGCTGCCTCTCTGCTGCAGATGGCCCACTACAATCGCGGCCTTCGGGCCAAAATCACCTTCATTCTCCGCCTCATGCCCAGTGAGACGGCTCGTCAAAGTACTCTGGAACGGGCCTTGCTGAAAGCCCTCTCCCTGCCCTCTGAGGCCATAAACGTCTGCCGTCAGTGTGGTCAAGACCTCAATGCCGCCCTTGCCGGTCGCATTCTTCTGGATGAACTCGCCCTCGCCGCCTCCCCCACCACCCATGACATCCTCGAACTCCCCGCCAATCTACTTGCACATAGCCCCCTCGTTCGAATCGACCTTGGTCTCGCTCAGAAACAGCGCCCCCGCCCTCGCCAAGAACCTGCTCCGGTAACCCGACCTGGCCCACATCAGCAAGTGTCAACGACCAAATCACGCTCATCCTCTGCCCAGCCAAGCCCGAGCCCTGCCTCCCATCGCAATATCAGCATCGATGAACCGTCTTCAGAGAGTACCACGGCCACAGACATGCTTGATCTTTGCCTCACCGCCGAAGCTCACCCCAATGCTACCATAGCTACCGACCACGGCCTTCTTGACGAAATGCCAGTGGCGCCGACCATGCTTGTTCCCGGAACAGAAGCATCTATCCGAGCAGACAACGTGCCCAACCCCATGACATCAACCGATGCTGTGGCTGCCGCACCGCCCTTTTCCTCACAATCCACCCAAACCTCATCCCGAGCACCGATGGGCACACAGCGGAGCACCGAGCTCCCAAAGGCAAATACAAGCCCTTCTCGACCCAAGCCATCCCGCTTACCAAGTGCTGATACAGACCTCGACTCGCCACAACCCGTGCCTTCATGGACAGCTAACCCTAGCGCTGCCGCCACACCCCTCAACGAGGACATTTTATACGCCACGACGCCCCCCTCCGTTGCCTCCTCGACGCAGTACTCGCCTGCCGTCTCCCACGTTAGCCTGCAGACGTACGAAGCCATGAGTCCCCAAGCGCCAGGGTCCGTTACGTTCCCACCAACCTTTCCCCCACGTGCCCGTGGAAGCTTCGTTCCCGTACATCATCTGCAGGCGGTGGCAAGCCCCCAAGCAATGCCTTCGGGGCCCCCGGAAGCCTTGCCCTTGCAAGCAGGTGTCAGGACCAAGGGCCCAGCCACGTTTCCTCCCACCAGCCACCACCATCATCACCAGCCATCAGAGCACTTTTTCCCCAACCAGCAAAAACTGCATTCGCCTCTGCCCCCGACGCTTGCCGTCGGCGAGCGCCCCCGCTACTTCCCCGATGGTAGCACGCTGGCATCTTCGCTCTCAAACCACAAGACCAACGTATTGGCAAACGCGGCAGCTTTGGGGCTATCGGCAAGTCATGAACCGACCCCCAAGCACGCTCGCTTAGAGGTGATTCGCCGAACGTCCCACCCAAGCCTCCCCAATCAATCTTGAGAACAAAGCCGTGTACAACATGCTGCGCATGGCACTCGGCTCTTTTTGTTTTATTATTCTTCGAAAGTTTGTTTGTTTGTTTCTCGTCGTGGCGCTTCGTATGAAACATCTGCATCGTGCGCATGACCACAGTCAAAGGTACCGACTGTATTATCAACATGCTCTGCGAGCACTGAATGCGCTTCTGGGCAATCTCAAATGTTGGACGTCAATTGACCAGTAGCAGCGCACAAAACCTGCCTCTCGAAACGAAAACAGATGGCCCCGTTTGCACTTCCAGGGGTCATGAAGAGGGTTTGCAGATGTGGCAGAGATGCTACTGCTGACCGAGCTTGAGGTTGATGTATTTCACCTCAGTGTATTCGTGCAACCCATGCGAGCCACCCTCGCGACCCACACCTGCACAGGCACAAGGCGTTCAAAGCAGAGCTGGAGCATGAGACATTCTTGTGCCGCAATGACCGAGCAAGCGTGCTGGCTCATCTGGGTCAAATCTCAGGGAGGGTGGATTCATACCTGCTTGCTTGACGCCGCCAAAGGGTGCGCCTGCGTTGCTAATCAGACCCGTGTTGACACCGACCATACCAAACTCCAAACCCTAAAACAATCAAGGTGAGAGTTGGAGAAGAGGCCAAAGACGGAAAATAGAATAAAAGCAAATGACGTTCTGATTGACGGAAGATGGCTACTCACTTCACTCATCCGATAAACTCGGTCAATGTCTTTGGTAAAGAGATAACTGGCCAGTCCTATTCACAGCCACGGATGGGCATGAGAGTTGCCATGACTCTGCCAAAGGGTGTTCATAACGCACACGCACCCAGCTCGGTAGAGTTTGCGCGCTGCAGCGCCTCCTCCTCGGTGCTAAATCGCTGGATGGCAGCAACGGGACCAAAGATCTCCCCTTGGGCAATCTAGATGGGCCGAGCGGGTGAGTCGACGATCGTCAGAACACCCTTGCAAGCGACATGGGGGAAAGGGAACCAAAGACACGAGGGTACCTTCATTTCGCTTGACACGTCAGTCAAAAGAGTCGGCTCGAAAAACCAGGCGTTGGGTTCAACGCGACGCCCACCGGCCACCAACTAGAACGTTTGACAGAACCCAGTATAGAGCATCAGTCGGCTTGCTCACACGCTTACAGTCGGTCAGGGCAGGAGTGACAACACTGTGTTGTTTGCGTTTTACCCTACCGTTGCACCCTTGTCAAGGGCATCTTGGACCAGCTCTTCAACCTTTTGAACAGCACTTTCATCGATCAATGGGCCCTAGCGTAGATGCACCAATCGTGTGTGCCCCCGGAAGATGGAGAACACGATGATGTCGTCAGGCGCTTCGGGGATGGCATGGTTTACGTTCCATGTGTTTGGCATTTTGCTCGTTGCCAAACGAGCGAATATTGATTGACCCCAAAACACACCTGCGTGACACCGTCTTCAAGCCCGTTGCCTAGCTTCAATTGCTCGCGCATTGCGTCGTGCAAAAGCTGGACAAAGCGATCATGTACAGCATCCTGAACGAAGAAACGGTTGGCACAAATGCACGTCTGACCCGAGTTACGAAACTAGTCGCAGCCCCCAGATCATCAATGCGCAACCAAAGCACAATGTCATCCAGACAACCAGAATGAGTAGTCCAATCAACGACAATACTTTGATGAGCGCATCGGAGGAACGTGCACAAGGCAATGTGGGTGAACCTTGGATTTGATGGCTCCATCGACTGCAGCAGGGATGTCGGCATCATCCATGACGATAAAGGGAGCGTTGCCTCCAAGCTCCATGCTGGTGCGCTTGATCGTACCGGCAGCCTGTTTCATGAGGATGCTACCAACATGCGTAGAGCCAGTGAAGGAAATTTTCCGCACTGCTGGGTTAGTTGTGAGCTCCTGCGGCATAGGAGGGCATGATCGGTGAGCCATGGGAAAAAAGGATCGGCTGAAGCAAGGCGGAACATCAACAGCGCAGCCGGCTGAGCACACCTCGCCAATGGCAGAAGAGTGTTCATGATCACAAGTGAGGACGGGAAACAGGGCCTCGGGTATGCCGGCCTCATAAGCCAACGCGCTAATTGCCTGACATTAGCGTAAGTTGCGTGAGCACATGATTTTGAACAAATGCCCTCACAATTTTGACAGAATTGACGTGAATTATACTTGAGCACTCAGCGGCGTAGCTGCGGCGGGTTTGGCAAGCATAGCACAGCCCGCAGCCAAGGCTGGTCCTGCCTTGCGAGTTAACATTGCCAAGGGGAAATTCCAAGGCGTGATGCATGCGCACTAACATGTAAAACAACGCCGTGAGGACTAAGTGAAATGGCATGACACCACGGCCCCGATTGCCCCTGAGACGTCTCCGGGTACGTACCACGCCCACAGGTTGATGAATGGTGTAAATGCGCTCGTTGCCAGCACCTGGTGGATGTGTATCACCATACTGCCGCAACGCCTCCTCGGCAAACCAATCCACAAAAGAGGCCGCTGCGGAACCCCAGCGCAAAAGCCGATCAGGGCACAAAACATCGCTAGTGTCTAGCAAGCCCATGACCAAAGTACTTCTCCCACCCCTTGGGTCATGCTAGAGCAGAAGTATGGGCGGCTGTACAAACCATAGGCCACCTCGCCGCGGGCCTCGGCCAGCGGCTTGCCTTGCTCCGTGGTCATGAGCCGAGCCAGGTAGTCTAAGAGCAGAGATCATGAGATCTGGGCGGAAAAAAATGCTCTTGTACCTTCTTGCTCTTCTTGCAATATGAAGCTTAATTAGACGACTAAATTGCACCATGCAGCAGAACCGTACCCTCGTTGTCCATGATCAAATGATACCAGCGCTTGAGCTTTTGGGCACGCTCCTTGACAGGGACCCGCGCCCAGTCACGCTGAGCCTTTGTGGCCGCTGTCACAGCCTGGTGCCCAACCCAACAGCAAAATAAATGAATACAAGATGGCAAAGGTCCGATTGTTTCCAACGGGAGCATACATGTGGAGGCGAATTTCGGCGCTAGTTTGCGGTGCGCACCTGCTTGACCTGCTCCAAGGAATGGATGGGGACGTGGGTAATCACGTCCTGAGTGGCAGGGTTGATGACGGCAAAGTGCTGGTCGCTGGTCGAGCTGGAGATGCCTGGGTGCAGGCGAGCTTCCAGATGCAGCGCCTGGCGCGAGCCTGCAGCTGCAAGTGGGCCACGAGCAACCCAGCGTGGCACTTGCCTGGTCAACATCGCCATGTTGTCACGCTCTGGCAGGCCCAGTGAACTTGCGACTAGAAGTTTTTCGTTCCAATCGAGGTCGGCGGGGCGACAAAGCAGGAAAAAAAAAAGCCAGCTACTATCGCCTCGCGTAGCTTCAGAGACAGGGTCTGCCGACTCGCGTAGCTTCAGAGACAGGGTCTGCCGACTCAGCAGCGTCTCAAGTTGTCTCGTCAAACGTGCACTGAGTCACTGTTTGAGCTGAAAGTAAAAAAATGCCCCAAAGCCGCGAAATCTATCAAAACATCTTCAATAACTAACTCTGTCTTCTTTAAGAAAAACGCATATACGCTTGAGATAACGTCGATAAGTCACATGTCCGCAGTCGTCTGGGAAAGCAGGTTGGAGCCTTTTTTTTCTTGTTTTTTTTTTTTCCAAAAATTTTACGGAGTCCAACTCTTTCTTATTTTGACGAGAACAGGAGGACGCGGCCGAGGGGGGACGGTGGCCACAGGAAGGGGATAAACGAGTGGTCAAAGCAGGGTGTTGTGCACCTTGGTTGGTACCACCGATTCTTTTTTTAGAGCGACACATACACTCACACACACATACGCACGCGGTCTACTCCTCCTCCGAGGTGCCGTTCAAGCGGTGCTGCGCCGAAGCAATGAGCCGGTCCACCACGGTTGTCTGCAACGTCAAGCTATTGGCAACCAATTGGGCAAGTTGGCCTGGGTGATTGGAAAAACAATTGGACGGCTCGCAGGCCAAAACCGTGCACTACTCACGTTCGCGAAATCTTAAAGTACTCCAATGCCGTGGCTGGATCGTTGTTGTCCTGTGTCAAGAGTCAAGCAATGTGTAAGAACCAGGAGCCTGACTTCTCAAACGCTTGGCAAAAGACAAAAACAAGCTCATCAAGGACCGGCAAGGCGATGCGCGGCCCGTGCTCTCACCATGTACAAATTGCCCAGTCGGTTGTATATCGTGTCCGTGCGAAAGTACGAGGCATGACGCTCGAGCCTGGTGTGCAAAAAGCAAAGAGCCGAGTGTGGGCCAGCAAGGGTCGAAGTGAAAGCTGGTACAAGCCTCAGATCCAAGGCACATTCGAGGCAATTGCCAGGGCTCAAGGCCTAGGGTGAAAACCACAGCACTGGGCACGTACAGGTCAATGCCCATTTGAAACTGCTTCTCCCGTGCATACACCTCACACATGCCAAAGATGGCGTCGATGCAGTGGGCGTCCAGGGCCAAAGCTTGCGTGAATGCTCGCCGTGCCCGTGCTGATCCATCCGAAAAATTGTTGCACACATGACCCAGCAACTATCGAAGATCGAAGATCAAGAAGGAAATTCACCAATAAGGATTGGCGTCCTGCACCAGCAGCTCTAAAGCGGCATGGGACAAGGACCTTGACAGCATTGGCAAAACCTACAGCAAGAGCTCGTGGACTCTTTTTCATCTTTTCAGCATAGTCCTTGGCCACCTGCACCGCCATCAAGCATAAGCATGTGTCGCTCTCCCCGACGTTGCCGTTGTTTTTGGTTGTTTTTGCCTTGGCAGGGAGGGGCAGGACAGTCTTTTTCCAGCACACAAATCACACCTGAATGGCTTCTCGGTAGCGCTTGAGTCCCAACATGGATCGTGTGAGGCCTGCCAAGAAGACATGTTCACCCAGTGACTGAGTGAGTTATTGGCCCATCGCAACGAGTGAAAGGGCTAGAGAAGGGTGCGGGCCGACCTTGATGTGCTCGAAAGGTGCTGCCTAGAGCCAGTGACTTCCGAAACGTGAAGCGAGCATCGTCCATCTGGCCCAAGCGGATGTACAAAAAGCCTGCCGTGACCTGCGCCTCGTGGCACAGAGGGTCGAGTTCCAAGGCCTGGGCCAGCAGGCGCGACATTAAGACCCCACGCATTAGACGATGATGACGAATTGTCGTCAAACAGATGGCAGGAGGATGAGCAAGAGCATTCGTGACCTAGCGCCAATCTCACCCGCTGAACAAACGCCTTGCCCTTGTCGGCGTAGTCGGTACACAAAGCAATGTCCTCTTGGGAATTGCACATGAGGCTCATGTACTCGGCGGCCACCTGCCATGCTTCGGGCTGTTGCGGATTGGCGTCCATCATGGCGCCGGCCAGGGCCTGCAGTTCATTCTGTCGGCCGCATGTTTGTAGCAGAATAGCGTACGTGGGCATGAACCGTCGCGCCAAATGATTGTCACCCTCCCATGCCTTGTCAAACGCCATGATCGAGGCCGCCATGTTGCCATGCATGTAGCGGAGTGAGCCCAAAAGGCCCAGGAGATAGGTGCTGTGGGGAGCCACTTGCAAACCCTGTGTGATCAAGGTGAGTTGATTATGCCAGTTGAGGTGATGCATGGCTCGCTCGTTCGAGATGAATCAGAGCAGGTCAGCGCAACAGGCGGAGACAAGCACTGACCAGTTCGACGTGCTTGACGGCCTCGAGAACATCGCCCAGCCCTTCACAAGCATGTGCAGCAGCTGCGGCGGGCCACCAGTAAAGGGCTTTATCGTACCGGCAAGCTTTGGTAGTAAGCTCAGCCTCACGCACGTCGGTTTGAAGCTTGAGCAGCATGGCCTGAGCCTCTAGTGCGTAGGGTTCTTGCCTATGGGTGTGGAATGGCCAAAGCGTGAGGCCAGTGCCGCTGTGCTTCGATCCGTGTGAATTCAAGTCGCAAGTACGCACGCCAAGGCTTTCTTCAGCAGACGGATGGCATGATGCCGATCGCGCACTTGAACAAAGCGCGCCACACGAATGAGAATGGATGGTGGTATGAGATCGAGGTTAACCTGCAACAGCTGCAAGGTCAAGTTACATCAGCACAGACCGAATGAGGCGCGGCTGCCGAGGTCAAAATGGCGGCATCAAGTCGCCTCAACGCAGGAAGCTGTGCAAAGTGGGAATGCCAGCAACTGACCAACTTGTTCGCGCTCTCATGGTCGTGCAGCTGCAGGTGACATTCCAAAAGCTCATTCCACAACATGGGCTCCTCGGTACCGGTGCAGTGCTGCAGCGCGCTGTTCAAGACAATCTGTCGTCAAACCAGGCACAGCATCAGCGCGTCCTATGAGTTTGTTGCTCGCCATGTAACGTGCTGAGACGCCGACGGCGAGCGTGTCCAGGCGTCCAGCGTTGATACCCACCTTAGCACGCTTGACATCGCCTTGACGTCGGTAGGCACGAGCCAAAAGAGGGTCGAGGGAGGCAGCTGGTCGGTAGACGTGAAGGCCATGCAAGTGAAGGCGCACTGACTCCCCCTATGTAGATCATTCACGGGCAGCAGACTCAGCACGGTGAGTTGGTGGTGATCCAGGCATGCTGGTAGAGGATGGGTGGCTGACGTATCCCAACAGCGTACGAGGATGGAAGCAGATTCGTAAAGCTCCTGATCCAATAGAGAGGTCATTCTTGACTTGATGGCCTCAAGATCCACCGAAGCAAAAGAGTAACCGCTGGGCACGGGGATGTCCCATCGAGGAGCTGTGTCGCCCAGCATGTTGGCCGGTCGTCTTTAATCAAGAGCTTTTTTCCTTGAATCAAGCTTTTGCGTCCGCTTATCGCTTGAACACGGCTAGGGTAAGCGCCTGGCTACCCGTATACCTGCCCTGATACTCGCCCTGGCCGCTGGTCTCACCAATGAGGAGCGACAACCAGGCACGAGTGCCGCGAAGAGCGACGTGTGTGTGTGTGTGTGTGTGTGTGTGGTGTTTGATTCGGCGCCAAAAAAAAAAATCAAAAAAAAAATTCAAATTTTGGCAACTGTTGTTCACAACATAACACTGAACTTTTGTCAGATGTTATTGTCAGCAAAATCTGGTTCGTCGGGAGGTCGGAGAGGACAGAGAGACAGAGACAGAGACAGAGACAGAGATAGACACAGAGATAGACACAGAGACAGACACAGAGAGAGAGACACAGACACAGACACAGAGACAGAGAGAAAGACAGAGACAGAGACAGACACAGACACAGACACAGAGACGGACACAGACACACAGAGACAGAGACAGTCACAGAGACAGACACAGAGAGCAGCTGGCACGCTCTCTCTCTTTCTCTCTGTGCCGTTCATGATTGTTGACCTTGTGACGGGTGCGGTCACCGCCACAGCTGCGGCCGTGCATGGAGAAGCGGGACGGAGGTTGAAGGACGACTGGCAGTGGATGCGGCTTGGATATTTTGTTTTCTGAGGAGGGAGCCCTCGTGCTGCTGCTGATACCTGAAAACGCTCCTTGAATTGCCGTGGCGCACAAGGAGCTCGAGCAAGCGGAGCTCAAAAATGGCGTAAAGAAGGCGGGATCAAGACCCGGCTGCTGAACCTCCCAGGCACAAAATCGTGGAAAACAGAGCTGGCATTGCCAGCGCGTCAGTTATCCTTGTAGGCGCTTCCTTCTTGCCCATCCGCCATGGCTTCGGGTGAGCGGTATGAAGTACTTGTGCGTAAGTTGAGCACCCCACCCCACGTGTGCCTGGTTGGATCAACTCATGTTGCAATGGGTGTGCACTCACACCTGGGACTGCTCTTGGCAGGGTCTAACCAAGATGATGGCCCAATATCTCCTGGTGACCTCGCTGACTGGCGCCACCTTCAGCCCGATGAGCCATTTGGCGCAGATGCTACCCATGACGATGCGAGCACAGATGTGGCATCGCAACCAGACCCCTGCGCTGATTTACTGCCGGTACGTCCGTTTTGTACGCCAAACCCAAGCGGCTTGCCATAGCTCCGCTCACCCAGCCCCTATCCTGTTTGATTAGGTGGAAGACCCTGCTTCAAGCAGTGCGACTAATCGTCTCCTCATCCTGGCAGCCCTCATGGCTGGCCTGGGTGGCTTTCTTTTTGGGTGAGCTGAGCATGACGTATGCTCTTTCATGGCCTGCCACATTTTTGAGTTTGCTGGCCAGACTCACCCCAGACCTGATTGCCTTTGGCGCTCATTGCCAGCTATGACATTGGCATCATCTCGGGTGCTCTGTTGCAGTTGGATGAAAAATACACGCTGACCGATCTCCAAGAGGTTCATCCTACTCATCCCGGGCTCGCACCGTGCCTTGCTTCCGCCTGTGATCGTGTCCCCACCCTCTTGTATGACCACCTGATACTGGTCTTGCCGATACCTAACAATTAGGAACTCGTTGTCAGCCTCATGCTGGTTGGCGCCATCATAGCCTCGCTTGTTGGTATGATCAGCACGCGCCCTTGCACCTCGCAGGACCCATCGCTGCGCCCAAAGGTGAAACTGTTTCGTTCGCTTGGCGCTGACCTGTATCACCGGGGCATATTCCAGGTGGCTTTATCGTCGATTGGGGCGGCCGGCGCACTGTGATCGTTGTGAACGCGGTTTGTGGTGGTTGCTTCCTTTTCACACCTTTGAGCTTGGACCGGCGACGAACAGCTCTCACACCTTGGTGACTACGTACACCATCTTCTGATAGGCCGTATTTGCCCTCGGAGCCATCATCTTGGCCGCTTCAAACAATCTTGGAACTCTGTACTTTGGTCGAGTGGTTGTCGGTTTTGCTGTGAGCCTGAGTGCCGTCTCCGAGGTGCGGGTTCATGTCAGATATCCCAAGGCTGGTGAGCCACGGTGAAGGATGCATTTGTTCATTTGTAAAAACCACCGCCACATACTTTTAGGTGATCTACATCAGTGAGATTGCGCCTGCTCAATCACGGGGAGCTCTCGTGAGCTTGAACGAAATGGGCATCACGCTTGGCATTCTCGTTAGCTACATTATCAACTACGCCCTCATTGATACCCGAGAGGGATGGCGGTATGATATGGCACCATGTCGGAATGCGTTGCGAGATGCTTGATGAATGAAAGCCTTGTGATAGCAAGCCGTTCTCCATTTGGCTCCTTCTACAGGTACATGTTCGGTATCAGCATTGTGCCGGCAATCATTCAAGGCGTGGGCATGCTCTTTCTCCCCCGCTCGCCGCGTTGGCTGTTGCTAAGGGGTCACCGAGAAGAAGTACGTGGCGTGCCAACTTGTTCCGTTTGATGGCATGGCAAGCCGGCGCTCGCACATTTGGCAGCAAGGCATTTATGAGATTCATTCACCACGCACACCCACCCTTCTTCTGGCCCATCCCCTGATAGGCGGTAGCGGCTCTTCGAATGCTACGCCCTTCGTCGCATGATATTGGGGAAGAAATCAAGGTCAGTACCTCTTTTTCAGAATTTGTGTGACTCGAGCTGTGCGCTCAACAAGAGCACTGTGCGTCATCTTCTTCCACGTGCCCACTGCACAGATCATCGAGACGGCAAACGAACAGCAAAGCAAGGTCTCACTGAGCGCGCTGCTCACCGACCCCATCTTGCGCAAGTGCCTCTTGATCGGTTGTGCTCTCACCCTGCTCCAGCAGTTTACAGGTGTGTCCTCCACCTGCCTCCCATGGACCACCCGAACATGTTTCACGGCGGTGCCTGACGATTGCTCTACCGTGTGATGCAAACGGTACCATGACTTTATTGCAGGTCAACCGACAGTGCTATACTACGGCTCTACCCTCTTCAAGGCCGCCGGTTTTGCCTCAGACCGTGCTGCAACGCTGGCTAACATGATCATTGGCATCGTCAAGGTACTCGCCACGGCCGTGGCACTGGTCAAGGTTGACCGGCTAGGTAGGAACAACAAGCAGCAGCTTACTCGCGCGTTGTGACGTTTTTGGTACAATTGTCTCTTATTGACTCGCCGCAACCATGTTTATCAGGCCGGCGAATGCTCTTGCTGATTGGGACTGTCCTCATGGTGCTGAGCCTGGTCGTGCTTGCTTCAGTCACGGCCTCGGCCACCATGATTACAACCGAAGTAAGAACAATTCCTCCGTTTTTCTTCTTCTTTGTTTTGGTTCAGGCAGAGAGGAATGGTACGCCGGCACCCTCACTCTGCAGGCAATAATTTGAGCTCACCTACTCGCTCGCATTATGGCTAGCCCAACACAACGTACACCAACGCGACTAACGCTTCAACCGTTGATCGGCGAGACTGGGCTAGCCACGCACTGTACGGGCACGTTGTGCTGCCAAAGGCCGCAACCTGTTGGAATGAGCCCGGCTGGAACGGATCGGCCAGTTTTGATATGGCTTCAGCTCGGCTGCCCAGGTAGAAGAAGCATCGACAAATGTGCTGGTCCTGGCTTTCGCGGGCTCGGGATGCTGCACTTCTCGTGAACTCGTGTCGAAACCGCACGTTTGCTTTGCGATGCGCAGCTCGACCATTATCATCGCATTGACAGACTTGACGCTTCATTCTTATCTGCCCGTCATTTAGGCGCGCCTCCCATCAACCCAAACCAGCAGGGATTGGGGAACAGGCCGAATATGATTCACCGGCCGTGAAATGGACCTCGCTTCTGTGCATGCTGGTATTTGTCATTGCATATGCATTCAGGTATGGACGGCTACGCTTTTATGAAAGAGAGGAAGTCGAGGGAAGAAGCAAGATTGACCTTTGCGCCTTTTGGAACCACCGAGCTCGAGTCTCATTTGACCTTGGCTCTTGATACCTGACTAAATGCAATTCTGGCTGATGATAGCTATGGTCCTGTTTCTTGGCTGGTATTATCCGAGCTGTTTCCAGATGACGTGCGCGGTCGCGCCGTGTCCATCGCCACCGTGTTCAACTGGCTGGGCAATCTTCTCGTGTCCCTCACCTTTCTGAGCCTCATGGGTTGGTTGACTTGTTCATGTCTGCGCGCGCATCAATGGATGGATCCACTGGCCACACCAACGTCAGCAATAAGACTGAGCCTCAACCTTGCGTTGAGAGGGTGTGCTGCTCATCTCACGCTATCCCCATGCCTGCAATGCGCAATCAGACGGCATTGGTTTCTCGGGCACTTTTTTCTTGTATGCGGCGATTGGTGTGCTGGCCTTTTTCTTTGTGCTTGGTAAGATGCTGGCGTCTGCGGCGCCGGGACGTGCCTACTCGACTCATTTTGGCGTTCTTTTCGTTCAGTTGTTGTCCCAGAAACCAAAGGCAAGTCGCTTGAAGAAGTGCAAGAGATGATGCGTGTGCGTGGTGTGGGGCTGGACGGTACGTGACTTGCTTGATAAGAGGGGTGGAGGTACAAATAGCCGGGAGAGCTGAGGAGAAAAGAAGGAAAGTTGAGCGAGGTGATAGCGAGCTTCTCATGGAAAAGTACTCGATTCGACATGCTAGCCTTGCCGTGCTACCGGCCAAGAGCCCGTTACGTCCTGCAAGAGGATCAATAAGCAAAAAGCACTGTTGCTGAGTGTAATTATTCACACGACCAGCTCGTGATATCTTGTGCAAGCCGTGCGCCTGCCTGCGTCCCGGAACGTGATGATGACCCCTGATGCACAAGGCATGCGTGCTGATGATCCTGTCAGTGCGACAGGCTTGTGTTTGTTCTTCAGTCACGGCCAATCTAGCGCAGAAAATTAGCAAAGGAGGTGGTGGGTTGAGCGGGAATCAGCGTCTGGTCGCCGAACCTGGGCCACACACAATGCGATCATGCTTACGGTGTGCGTCTCTTTGGGTGCGTCAACACGAAACACCTTTTCCGCAACCACAAAGTATCCCGTGTATTTAACTGCCTTCGGAGTCACGTCGTAATGGTAGTGACCGCCTTGGCCGTGCTGGGAAAAGCAGTGCGTGTGGTCCACTCGCAAGTCCATGCCCTATGATAAACGACCAATTGGTACACCCTTTTGAGCATCAAAGCACCAAGAAGGAGCTTCGGCCAGAGCTGGGAGGGCCGATCGTGCTTACGGGATCATGAGAGACAAAGACAGAGAGGCAAGTGAGCGGTGGCTGGCATTCGTAGAACTTGAGCCATTGTGCCACTTCATCATCAGACTGGAGCGGTGTTTTGCTGAAGTCAGGCTGCGAAGCAAGCATTAGCGGGTACCGGAAGGTGAGCAAGCGGGGGTAAAGATAGACACCAAAATCGGTTAAAAATCACCGAATGCAGGTCAACGTTGGTGGACCCACCATCACGTGAAGCTTGGCATTGCCGGCCTCGATGACGAAGGAGCCGCCAATGGCCACGGGCTGACGATCAGCATGAACCGCCGGAATGAAGATGAGGGTTGGATCGAACATCAATGGGAATATAAATCAGCGGAGGAAGGGGGCCGCGGGCTGTCTATGAAACTAAGCTAAGGCATACCATGGCATCACCAAAGTGGGCATGCAATGCTTCGCGCATGCAGGTCACAAAGTTTTTATCGCCGGTGCGTGTCTCGGCCTCCACCTTGATCACCTGTGGGCGTAATGACAAGGCCAGTTAGCCTCAAGTACAGTTGGGCAAAATTAGCTGGCTGAGCAAATGAGTGAGTCAGCCGGTACGGTGCGTGCAGACACCAACGGTAGCACGTGCCTTGCCAGGGCGACCTTCAGATGCAAGAAAGTTGCCGAGAAGACCAAACTCATTGGAAGAGTAGGGGTTCAAGACCATGGAACCATCCTAAGTATTGCGCGCCAGCCAATGAGAGCGGCTTTTTGGTCCCAGCACAGCGACACTGCTTAGCCGGCAATGTCCGTCTTTTCTTGGCATGTGACTTAAGGACTGGCATGTGCAGCGTGTCTTTCCAGGATTGGGGCTGGGATGGTGTGGACAGGGGGATGTTGTAGCACGCACCTCTGGATCTACCTTGGCAAAGTAGCTCTTGATGGTATGCGTGGCAATGTGGGTGTTGGGCATCATTTCGCAGTTGACGCCAGCCAAACGGGAGGAGCCCGCGCCAGCACCTAGGAAAAACGCGCCGGGCAGGTCGATTTGCTTGGCAACATCGACAAAGTTGTACACCTATGGTGATCACGATCGACAATGGGTACAAACAGAAAGTGAGCTACTCACGGCAGGCTATTTGTCAGTCAACTATGGGAGTCAGCGGCCAAACTTTGAAGGCAAACTGACCTTGTCACGGTTGACCAGAGGCACGAGATTGGGCACGCCACCCACATCGGCCAGGCGTGGGCTACCGCAGATGCCTAAAGAGCAGGCGCATGAGGTCCTTTAGCGTTTGAGGCAAGCTGAACAGGGTCCAAGGCGAGAACACATACCCTCGGAGGCCAGATGAAAGGGCGCCTGGGTCAGATCCGGGCAGTCGACCACCGAGGCCGTGGCCGTGGCGAAATTGGCCCGGAGCCCTGCCTCAAAAACTGTTGGCACCAAGCAGTTCACCAGATCGGATCAGAAGTGATCGAGGGCCAATCAAGCATACACACACACACACACACACACACACACACACACACACACACACACACACACACACACACACACACACACACACATACACACACGCCAGCGCAGCGAGAGCACAAAGATCGCGGCAAAGAAAAAAAGCGGGGGGCAGGGAGGGACGCCACCGGATGCACCTACCGCCCGCCACCTCGTCAAGCGAGGGCACGTGAAAATCGCGGCTGACCACTTCCATCGTAATGGTTGGCACAAAGACCTACACCCCAACACCAATGAGACTCAACTTGCGAGCCACTGAGCATTCATCCCCCTACCAGCTCAAGCTCAAGCTCCCCGCTGCCCTTTCTCTCCGACACACACACAGAGCCACTGACTTTTTTCTATTTTACTTTTTGCAATCAAAATGTCAAGATCGAAGAAAATTACCCCATGTACATGAACATGAATGCACAGCAAAACACAACAACTCTCTTGATCGAGTCTTGAACTCTCCTCTCTCTCTCTTGATCTTCTCTCTGTCTTGATCTTCTCCCTCTCTTGATCTCTCTCTCGCTCACTCTCTCGCCCTCTCTCTCTCTTGATCGCTCTCTGTCTCTCTCTGTTTCTCTCTCTGTTTCTCTCTCTGTTTCTCTCTCTGTTTCTCTCTCTGTTTCTCTCTCTGTTTCTCTCTCTCTTGATCTCTCTCTTGATCTCTCTCTCGATCTCTCTCTTGATCTCTCTCTCTCTCTGTCTCTCTCGTGGTGCATCGTTGACCTGATAGATTACTACATGGCATTATGCTCAGGTTCGCTTGATAGCAGCGATAACACGGTATTTTACGACAACAACGTTGGATGCTTTTGAAAACGCTCACGGTTTGCACCATCACTGATGGACTTGTGAACTCGGGGGAGGGGGAAGCTCATTATCAAGATTGCCTGCCGTCAGCTGTTTCGACGCCGACGCCACCAGGAAAAGCAACGGGCCAATGGGATCAGCAAACATCAGAGAATTTTGGGAATGTCAAGCTTGCGTGGCTACCATCGTCTGTTTTGATTTCCTATGTTGACAAGCAGTAGGCCGTATGCATTGGATGAGGCGGACTCACAAGAAGACGGGTTTCGGACTCGGCACTAGCATGGTCCAAAACGCATCAATAAAACTCAAATGCCATGCTTGTAAGAATGCCATGCTTGTAAGAATGCCACTCACTCGAACGTTATGCGTGTTCAAGTCGAATCCGTGTCCATCATCATTGTCAATTAGTTGGCATGAGAGTAGCTTGGCATCGCTCATGAGCATGCGCCTACTCTCAAAGAGCTTTTTACATGTTAAAGAAAAACCAAAGGGTGCGATTTTGCAAATGTCAGTCATTCAGTTATCTCTCAAACTTAGGTGGCCTGATGCCAAAGTACCAAAATGATGCGCATCGTCTCCTGGAGATGCAGTTCCACTAGAGCCCTGAGGACTCGTCGTGTAGGTTGCGATAAAAGTGGCACAGTCGGTGCAACAAAGGAACATCAGCTATGTGTAATGGATGACGTATTGGGGAAGAAGAGCGGCACTGTTGCGAAAAACATACCAGTCACCCTCATTGCCTGGGGGTGACCAGCAGTCCACTTGGTCGCCGTCTGGAGCTATCGAGTCATGAGTAGGACCGCGGGCACCGATAAGGGCGCGACACATGATCATGGCTCGTGAATGTTGCGAATACCACATGGGAGTATGAGGACCGGTGGCCGTGTAAATCCCCGCACCATGCCGGGCGCCGTTGGTGGACTCAACCCCGTCACCGCCGACCTTGAAGCCATGCATCATGATGTGCTGAATGTTCTCGAGCTTTGAGCCGTGAAACACGCGCAGCTCATGCACGCTGCGACCCTGGCGCTCAAGTTGATGACGGAAATCATCAAACTGCTTTTCAAGGTGGGCGTTTTGCCAATAAGCAATGACCACAGGGCGAGGTCGACGAATGCCCGGAAACATGACCACAAACTGGGTAAAAGCGTACGAAAAGTGATGTTCGGCAAACTCGGACATGGCCTGGGACTTGCCGTGCCTCAGCGTGTGCTGAATGACCCCAGGAGCCACCACCACCTTTTCGTGGGGTGCGTAGGGTTTGTTGGCAGTAAAAGGGATGACAGAATGGCTTTGATTTGTAAGCGGACGACCACGCCTTCGAAGCTCGTACTTGACGTGAGCCCCGGTCTCGTTGTTCACGACGATAAGGATGTGACCGTTTGGTTGGTTGTGGGCAAACTTGACAAAGACGTTCCGGATGGTTTTGGCAGCCGGATTGGAGCGTTCAGGCGCTGGCTGGCAGTGCGGGCAAGGAATTTCCTGAGCGATGGAGGTCGTGGATGTCGTTGCCGTCGTCAATGTGTTTGATGAAGTCGCCTCACCCAACTTCGCGTTGGGCATTTCTTGCGCAGCTGGCAAAACATCGGGTCCATCGAAAGTGGTATCTGATTCTTGGAAGGCAAAGCGCAGATTGACGCCCGTCATCTCTTCAAAGAAGGCACTGGTCACCCCTTTAAAGAACAGAATCTCGAGGGCGTAAGTCACGTCGCGGTCAAGCAGAACGTAAACTGGAGCCTCAGTATCGGGGCAAAGCGAAAAGGCGTGGGGATTGCAGCGGATGATGTCCCAGAGAATAAACTCCGAATCAAACTGATCGACCAAGTCTTTGTTGCTGAGCGAGTTGACAAACTCATTCAGATTTGAAATGCGCATGTCGGGCAGTGCTGTCCGATCAAAGGGTTTGGTGAAAGGGCCATGCGAGCTAGGGTTTGTCATGACGTGTGTACGTTTGGCACTTGGTTGACCTGCGTCCTGCATTTCGTCGTCCTCTGCTTCATCGCTTGAGCATGTAAGACTTGCATCAGAATCGGCGCCGTGCCTGTGCTGGGTGGTGGGGTCCTTTTTCGCGAACGAGGCGTTGCTATTAAATCGTTGGGTGGGAACGTCAACGGCAGAAAATGATGTTTTCGCAGGATTGAGAAAGTGCGATGTGCCTTGTGGAAGCGTGGGTCGCAGCTTCTCTCGACTCGCCGCGAGAGGCCCCGCCAGGTTCAGTTCAGAAGCAATACTGGCTTGCTCCGTGGTGTATGACGGCAAACGGGTGAACTCATCGTGTGTAAAGTCAACCCGTCCACTTGACTCATCCAGCAACATGTCGCACGCTTGTAACCCGAGGTCATGGTCAAAGGGGATGTTCGATTGAACTTTATCATTAGGCTGCGTCATTTGTGGCGGTTGCTGATGGCAGCGGCGCTAATTGAGTGCAATCAGCCCCACTGTGTACGAGGCACTCACGATATACTTTGTGAAAACGCGGATTGTGAAAAATGCCACACTGATACTCGCCGCCAACACCTGGATATACTTTGGCAAAAAAGCAAAACGGCACCCAGCAGCAAAGTCATATATGAGATCTGAGCATTTCAAACTTTTGAAGAGGCAAGGTGGCTTGCTTGCGAGGGGTGGGTGAATGCTGGGTGGATGCTGGCTGGGTGGAAGATGTGACCCGCTTCTCATTAACCCGCCCTCATACCATGAGGGCGGTTCAAAGCCGTCAGAGTTTGCTTTCACCACACACACACACACACACACACACTGTATGTTGTCAAGTCCGTATGTCTGAGTTGCTTGTATCCAGGCTCGAACAAGGCTTGAACAAACCTTGAATTGGAAGTGTGCTTGCAATAAATGCTGGCGCCCAGTCCGAAAAAGTCCACACGAAGCCCGTCCACGAATCACCACCATGCAAGCAGCTCGCCCCCAGTGACCGGGAAAAGAAAAAATGAACTCACGTCAAGCAAACAAATGGAGTGAGTTGGTCATAACAGTAGTTTAGAATGATACTACGTTGAATGTGTGATAAATGTTGCACTGTGAAGGATTACTTATCACATGAAATCATTTCTATTTTTAGTGTCTGTCTGTCTCTCTGTCTCTCTCTCTCTCTCTCTCTGTCTGTCTGTCTCTCTCTTTGTCTCTCTCTCTCTCTCTCTCTCTCTCTCTCTCTCTCTCTCTCTCTCTCTCTCTCTCTCTCTCTCTCTCTCTCTCTCTCTCTCTCTCTCTCTCTCTCTCTCTCTCTCTTTCTCTCTGTGCTCTCTCTCTCTCTCTCTGTTCTGCTCTCTCTTCTTCTGCTCTCTCTGCCAATCTAAGCTTGATGTTGTGATGCGTGTTACGTGAGCATGAAGTGGCAGCCAGGGACCTGCTGCTTTTCACGCACATGTGTCGTGCCCCGTCGCGCAGGGTCAATGGGGCTGTTGGCCCGTCTCAATTTACCATGAGCTCTACCCTCTCCCGTGCCAAGGACGAGCCAATGTTGCCAGCACATTCTCTATTACGAGATGATGACGTGCAGCGCGCAGCGCGTGCTCAGAAGCGGGACATCGCCAATACAGGCAATCGGCCGTGGACGTAGTAGGACGTAGACACAAGTCGACGTTGTAAACGGCAGTCAGACGATGAAGACCCGCAGCCCATGGTATGATAGTCATCAGCACACCGGCCGTACCGGCACCATGGTCATGGTGCCGCTGCCAATACCCGGCTTGTCTGTTCAGCTTTTTTATTTCTTGATGTCGCGCACACACCTTTCTCTCTCTCAAGCTCACGAGATCTCATTCCTTCTCTGAATCTCACTTTAAAACCATGCAAAATACAACCAGTAAACCCCTCATTAACCTTCTCTCTCTGAAATCAACTCGCCACGCTCACAATCTCTACAAACTTTTGCATACCATCGACCCACACACTGGACTCTTTTTGTCTCTCTCTCTCTTCAACATCTCTCAACTTCTCTCAACTTCCCTCAACTTCTCTGAATGTCTCTCCACATCTCTCAAAGTCTCTGAACGTCTCTGAACGTTTGTCAACATCTCTTAATTTCTTAGGTATAAACTCTAATTTATGCTCCTAAACTCTCTTAAACCCTCTTAAGCTCTCTCAAATCTCCCAAACTCTCTCAAATCTCTCAAAGTGTTCAACACGCTATCAACACTCTCTCAAGACTTTCTCAATACACTCACACTCTCTCGCTGCGTGCGAAGTGCGAGAGGCCTTGATTTTGAGGCCTTTGGACCTCCCGCCGCCCCCTGCCTCCTGCCTCCTGCCTCCTGCCTTCTCTGGCTCGGCCTCTGCCTTGGCCTACTCTTGCAGCCCCTCTGTGTCTCTCTGTCTGCTCGTGCCTGCGTGGTGCAGAGCTGGGGTGGCTCCTTGCCCACCCCCAAAAGGCTGCTGCCCACCCCCTGGACCTCATACACAGCTTACTCTCTCTATCCCCCTCCCCTTTCCCCCCTCCTCTCCCCTCTCTTCCTCCTCTCCCCTCTCTCTTTCTCGCCTTGGCCTCTGCCTCAGGACTCAAGAGCCCCTGCTTCCTCTTTCGACACGCCTATACCCGTCTTACTTGGTCGTGGCACCGCGCCCGTGTGGCGGTGGAGCAGTCCGAGTTGACACCTTGTTATCAACACCATGGCGCTGGTGCTCGGACGCGCCGTGGGAAACTGCAACTGCACCGACTGTGGTGGAACGAACAATGTGGCCCACTGCTTCTGGGATCTCAACGTACGCGCTGCTGAAGTGAGCGCGGACGAAGAGGACGATGGGGACGCCACCGAGGTCTACATGTCCGCCATGGAGCAGCTCACCGACGAAGACACCAACCTCAGCTCCCTGCCCAGCCCCAACACCCCTGCGCCCCGCCGTAGCTCCGTGTCCAAAAAGGACCGCATCCGCCAGTCCCTGCGCGGATTTGTCCGAGGCAAATCCAATCGTGTCGAAGCCAAAGACGCTCCCGACAAACTCCAATCCCCGGCCTCTGCGCCCGCAACAGACGCGCCCATCGTGCTCCCAGCCCCGGTGGCTGGCCCCAATGCACTCCCCAGCAACCAACGCCGGAGCGAAGCCGACAAACGCAAACACTACCGCAAACGCCGGTCCAGCGTCAACTCGGCCGTTGGTGACTATGAAGACGCCCCATCCACCGCCGCCCCCGCCTCACCACGTCGTAACACCCACAACAACAACGACCATGGCCATGCCCATCACCACAACCATGCCAGCCTAGACAGTGGCAACGGAACCTCGCAAACTGGTCAACAAGCCCC